ACATTATTATCCAAGGAATTGCAGCCTTTTTAGCACAGGTTCCACCAGTCAGAAGCCTGGAAATTAATTTCTGAATCATAAGAAGAACCAACATGGGTGTGAACAGATTGTTTTACACTACCAACATCTCTCATCAAGCAACCAGCAAAGTGGATGAGCAAGGAACAGTAAGAGGAGTATTTTTGCTAATTGTAGGGGAGGGATTTAAGCTTTCCTTAATAAATCAGTGTTAGATGTAACCATGATATGGATTATCACAAAAAATATATCTTTCTTGAAAAGCAGTTCTCTGGTTTGCTGTGAAACAAGACACATTTCAAGTGGGTCCTGCTTTCCTTCCATTTCCAGTCAGTATTTTTATTAACAACATGGAAGCAGAGAACACTTGAACAGTTTGTGAATGACATCACCACTGGTAGGAGTTGGAATTATTTTGGAAAACAGGATGAGACTCATAAGTGGTTTCAAAATTTGGAAATATGGCATGAAACCAAGAAGGTGGAATCAGAAGCTAACCAAGAGGAGTTACACTTTGGAAGAAGAAATGCAACACAAAGCTGGAATATGTGGCTAAGCAGCAAACCAAACAATCATCTCCTGTTCCAGCTGGACAAAACATTAAAAAGGACTCAACACTATGGCTCAGAACTGCTTGAGAGAGTCATCTCTGAGGAATTCACCAGGACTTCCTACATGGGCTGTAATTATCCTCCTGTGGTCAGTGCTGTGAGGCCTTGGCTGGAATTGTGTATTTGGGCTGAGGCATCACTTTCAGAAAGTCACAGAAAAATATCAGAGTGCCACCAGAGCTGTGATAAGAGAATAAAGAGAGTAAGAGCCCCAAAAAGCAGCCAAGGCTTTTATAACAGCAGGTCATGGTGGAAGTGGGGGGAGCTGTTACAGACCAATGCTGGGGCACAGAAACACACCCAAAAGAGGCCCCGCATCAGAAAACTTGTTATCTCTCCCTACAAGTCAGAGGCAAACAAGAAAATCATGTATTCAGGAAGAAGTTAAAGGAGTTTGGTCCATAAATCTACAACAGAAAGAGGGCAAACACAGAAATTTCAACATACAGTAACATGTCAAGATGTGGCCCTTGTTCTCCAAAGCCAAGCTGCAGAACAAATCAGCAGACACTGGAGACTGGAATGATGAAATATGGGGAGAAAAGATCTCCAGAGCTGCTGTGTAATCAGCTCCCCCATCCTTTAACCTTCAAATGCTGCCCTGGGCTGTGTTCCAGGCCTCAGGAACCAGACTGGGTGACACCCTGGAGTCTTCCCCATCTGGAGATATTTGGGATCCATACTGTGAACACTGCTGGAATGATCTGCAGCACCTGGCTAAGCTGCCAGTGCTCCTGAACAGTGAATAACCAGGCTGGATAAGGCAGGAATTAGGAAAGAAAGCACACAAAGGAGCAAACACATACCCTTGCCTTTTGCTTTTCTGCTTGGAGCTGGGCATCAATCTCCTCAGGACTCGTGTACTGCCTTGCTCGGCCTTTGTGGCCTCCTTTTCTACCTGTACAAAATTAAAAACAACAAATGGTTTAGTGGTAACCTCCAGAAAGATCTGTTCCTCCTGCAGCACTCTCTGGATTTTAGGTGTGGATAGGACAAACCAAAATAGCTCCTCTGATAGACCCTAAACAACAAAACCCCCCAACTGAACTTGGTGAAACGCTCCAAGGTTTCTAGGTGAGATGCAGAGAGAATTTGGATTATTGATACCACTGCCTGTGCTTGCTCTCCAATTCCCTTCCCAGGCTGGCAAGGGACGCTCAGTCCTACAGCAGATCCCAGTTTCCTGCACAGGAGGAATCACAGTGTGTTCCTGTTGGTTACAAACAATATTCCAACAAGCCTGGCTCTTTAACCCCTCCCACTGTGCCTGGAGAAAATAGGAAGCTAACTGGACAAAAGCTTTGGGAATGACAATGGGAGCTGAAGAAGTACTAAAAGGAGCCCCCATGTTCTACTGCTTTATGAGGAAAAATTAAAAGAAGCTCTAGGAACCAAGAAGGGGAGTCACTGTGGCTGGCACTGCCCCAACTTCCAAATTCTGTTGATTAATGAACTGCTGAAGCCATTAATGCTCCCTCTTCAAGCCACTGCTTTGGTTACGTTCTTCTAGCCCAAAGAATTCGGAAGCAAGTTGGACAGAGCCAATCCACAGCCCTGAGTGAGGAAGACTGGCAAAAAGCAAACAACTCTGGCAAGACAGCTCTCTGCCACTGCAGGAGTCTTGGAAGTCCCATGGAAGGAGCAGGAAACACTGGATCTCTCTCATCCTCCCCACTTCACCTGCCAAGGTCAATGGGAAGCTTACAGTGATGGGGAAGGATGAAGGATGATCCCTCCCTCCTTGGCACAGTGTGGGATCCATGGGAGATCGGCCACTGCTCTCTCACTGTGTGCTGTTGGACTGGGAGCTCTCGAGATCCAACATTTTCTGACCAATTCTCTAGGCTCAGCACAGACAAACTCTCACAATGCCTTACTTCTGTCCCAAAACCCCACTGTGAAACTTTACAGAAACTCCCGAGATATTTTTCCAAAAGGAATGGGGAAGTGCAAAGACCAAATGATTCCCCCTGGATTCAGCTGGGGAAGCTCATGGGCTCTCAAATCCTAAGCACAACCAAAGCTTTGGTGCAGCCAGGCAGGTGTTTTTTGTTTATCTGTTCCCAACCACGTGGGGACACTGACACCCTCTGGAAGCAGATCTGCCATGGGAATGCTCCTGGGGAGACATTACCTCACTGCCCAGCACATGACATCACCCCAGATGGAACAACTGTGACATCTGTGACACACCAACCCCCAAATAACCAAACTGTTCTCCCAGCCTGGCCAGGGCCAAGCTCCTCACCCAGCTGCTCCACAACCCTGGGCTCAGGACCAAGGAACACAAACTGCTCATTACTGCAAATAAACAGTGGTGTAAGGGGGAGAAGCAACTAAAGAGAAATTATTTTACATTAAAAGCCTAAAAAGAAGAATGGAGCCCGTGGGAGCTCAGCACAGTGCAGGGAGGGGGCTCTGCTCCCACAGGGAGATCAAACCTCACATCAGATTTAGGGAGCAGGTCTGACACCTGCCACTGACAAGCTCTGTGTCGCAGTTTCCCCATTTGAAAACAGGGATAACACTTCTTCTCCACCACCTCTGTGAAGCATTTTTTAGAATAGAATCACCTGCAGATTCTATCTGCAGCAAAGCCCAGTGGTGCTCAGGCAGGCCCATATTCAAACACATCTGTCTTCAGCTTTAAACAGCCTAATTAAAGAACTTAGATGAGAGAGAATGGAATCTCTTCTTTTAAAATCAAAGTATTAGGGGAAAAAAAAGGAAATTAATCAGAAATAATCCTGTAAAGAATTTATTACTAGCCAGTTAACACTGCTCCCTTTTCTATTAAGAGTGAGTACCAAAATCCACTCCTCTGCCAACAATCCAACAACTCCCACTGACTTGGGGAAAAATGACCAAAGTCCCCTCTTCTTCCAAAAAGCAAAAGGTTTGAATCAAACATCTAAATTTGTACAATGAAATAAAGAGCAGGAAATCCTGAAGTTACACAGTATTTAAATATTAAAAATGGGGTTATAACCCAGCACGGTTCTTTGCCTTCACAAAAACCACGTGAAAGCTTCAGCCCCATCATCCTATCACTGTGCAAATGGACCCAAAAAATGAAGCGGTTAAATAAAAGCTAAGCAAGGAATCAGTTTGGTGCTAAAGGCAGGGAAATGCTGATGAAATAAAGCAGAGCAAACTGCAGGGAAGAGGAATGAGGAGAGCTGGTTTTTAACGTGTGTGACCGGGGTTTGCAAGAGCCAATTATGCAGATGTTGCATGTGGAGAAGGTTCTGGGTGGATCCTGCTGAGCCGTGACAGCCCGGCCGTGCCTCATCCCCGCTCCTGAATCACACGAGGAGCAAGTCGGTGCCCGCTCCGGAACACCCAAAACGCGGCGCTGCCGGAGCCGCCTCAAAGGAGCCGCGTTTGGAGCCCCTGAACCCCCCCCGGGCGGGACCCCCTGCGCTCGGCTCGGCTCGCCCGGGCCGGACCGGGCACCAGCCCCCGGTGGGGCTGTACCCACCTCCCCCGGGCTCCGTGAGCCCCACACCCCGTCCCGGGGGAACCGGCCGCGGTTCCCGTTCCAGCGGGAGCACATGGAGCCCAGCCCGGTCCCACGGGAGGTTCGGACACCCCCAGGAGTTGCTGCGCTGCCACGGCACTTTGGGGAGCACAGAACGGGGCCCCGGCTCCGTGAAGGGCGCGGGGAACGCGCCGGCTCCTGAGGAGCGGGGAGGGGGCGAGGCACCCCCGGAGCCGCCGAGAACGGGGAGGGGGAAAGAGAACCCGAGAACCCCCCCGAGCCCAAACACAGCCGCGGGGGCAGCGCGGGGACCGCTGCCCGCCGCCCTAAGGGGGAAAGGGACCCCCGCAGGCTCCCCCAAGGCCGGGGAGAACGGACCCGCCGCGGCGTCTTTACAGCCGGGGGCGAACACGAGCCCTGCCCGCGCCGGGGCCGGGGCGGCCCACACACCCCCTCAGCCCCCTCCTCTCTGTCCCCCGTGTCCCCCCGCCGCCGTTCCCCGCGGGGGGACCCTCGGCCCGGCCCGGCCCGGCCCCCACCACCTTTGAACATCGCGGCGATGGCGGCACGGCCCCCCCGGCCCGAGCGGCGCCCGGAACCGGAACCGGAACCGCCCCCAGGCCAGGCCACCGCCGCTGGGCTGCCCTCAGCGCCGCCGCTGCCCGCGCCGCCTCTCCCGGTGCTCCCGCAGGCACAGCAGGGAGCGGGGCCGGTTCTCTCCCGGTGCCTTCTCGCCTCTCCCGGGGAGGCGGCGCGGGCGGCGGGGAGCGCTTTGCTCAGGCAGCGCGCAGGGCAGCCCAGGGGGCGGGGCCTCGGGCGGTGCGGCTGCGAGAGGACCCCGGGTGACGGCGGCGGCGCGACGGGAGCAAGAGGTGAGCGGGACCGGGACCGGAGCGGGGTCGGGACGGGAATCGGGACCAGGAACTGCAGCCTTCCCTCACCCCGCCGGCCCCGGGTTCCGCTGTGGGGCCGTCGGGGCCAGGCCGGGCGGCCTCTGTATCACCGGGCTCTGACCGGAATTGTCACCTCAGAGAAGGAGTGGTTTCCGCGCTTTGCTGAGGATTTATCGTGCAGCAGTCACAGAGCTTTCACCTCTTTCACGAGCTCCGTAAAGCTCATTGTTATCCTTGAAGTGGAAAACAGGAAGGGGGCACAGAATCCTTAGGAGAAATATATTTGACGGCTGTTTTCCTTTAGTTTTTCGCAGTGATCCTGAGGGAGTGTTGGTAGTTCCCCTTTGCCTTTCGGCCCTTTCGTTCCCGAGGCAATGCCCAAAGTGAAGAGGAGCAGGAAGCCTCCCCCGGATGGCTGGGAGCTGATCGAGCCCACGCTGGACGAGCTGGATCAGAAGATGAGAGAAGGTGAGTGGGTGTTCTAAGAGATGGGGGACCCCAAAACATGCTCACAAAACCTGCTTCATAAATACAGGTGGACCTTTTTTGTGTTTGTGCCTCCAGTGGTGCTGCAGGTTGATCCTGAGCCATGCTGGTCCCTAATTTTGGGGTTCTGGAGCACAGAGCTTTGGTTACAGCTGGTTTGGGGATGAAGCTCATGGGTGTGTGGAGGAACTGGTAGTTCCTGTCCATTTTGTTGCTGTGGGCATGAAGTCACCCTTGATCCCAGTGTGGGTTATGTCATCCCACTACCATTGGTTTTGAATACTAAAGGAGCTGTTCCAGGTCAGGTCTCTCTCATTTATCTCCTCATTAATCTCAATCTTATCCCTGTCATGTGTGAAAGTTATGAACATTCTTGGAACAGTGCATTGCAAAGTGCTTGAGGGAAGCACTTGGTCACTTGGTGTCTGTGTTTCCTCCCAGCGGAGACGGAGCCACATGAAGGGAAGAGGAAAGTGGAGTCCCTCTGGCCCATCTTCAGGATCCACCACCAGAAAACACGTTACATCTTTGATCTCTTCTACAAGAGGAAAGCAATCAGCAGAGGTGAGGAGGGCAGGGGCTTTAGCTGGGGCAGGGGAAAACTGGAGTGAGTGAGGTGTTTACCTGTGGATGCCACTGAACTGGGAGTTGGTGGGATCACGTTTCTGGGGAAGGAGGATGGAGAGAAGGCTTGGAAGCTGCCTGGCTTTACCTGCTGGTTACTACAGCTGGTAGCCCCTGATAGTGAGACTGTGACAGTGTCTGCCTCTTCCCAGAGCTCTATGAGTACTGCATCAAGGAGGGCTATGCTGACAAAAACCTGATTGCCAAGTGGAAGAAGCAGGGCTATGAGAACCTCTGCTGCCTGCGCTGCATCCAGACTCGGGACACCAACTTCGGGACCAACTGCATCTGCAGGGTCCCCAAAAGCAAGCTGGAAGTGGTGAGTGTCCAGCTTGTTCCTCTGCTCTGCAATAGCTGTTCTGACTTCTCCCAGCTCAGCAGAGTGTTGTTCTTCCTGCTAATTTCCTCTGCCTTTGCTGGTAGAATTTGTGTCCAGTTGGTGCAAAAGTTACTGTCAGCTCTGCCATTCATTTAAGGTTGTTAAAAGTATGGGAAATAACAGCAAACTGTGGAAACCCTTCCCACTCAGAGCCATTCCCTGCCTCGAGGTCTGAGCGTGCTGCTCTGGCTGTGGCTTGGCTGTAATACCCTGATGTTTGTTTTTCAGGGCAGAATCATTGAATGCACTCACTGTGGATGCAGAGGCTGCTCTGGATGAAGCCTTTTGCCATCAAACTTGTTTTTTGAACTCTGAGGGACATCCTCCTCCTCCTCAATGGACTATGAGTGCAATTACAGCTGCTTTCTGTGATGGGATATTTCTGTATAATAATTAAAGCAGCAGCATGATCACCTGGATTGTGTATAAATGGTGGGGGTACTTTTGAGTAGGGTTTTGTGTAGCCATTTATTTTAAAATAAAGCTTGCCTTCCTGAGAGAGTGGTGTGATCTGCTGGTGAATCATTCCTGTGCCACTCTTCTGTTGGATGTGTTCTGGATGCTTGAACATTGCTCTGTACGTTGTGAGCTGCTCTAGGTTTCTTTCCTCAACTCAGTCAATTTAAAAGGCTGTGTATAAAGGAAACAATTCCCAAATGTTCAGTCTGAGTTCTTCCCTGACCATGTGCAAATGGAAGCTGCATTTCACTGGAATTCTCTGCTGAGGTTTGTAACCTGGAATTAATGCACAGATCCCTTCAGGAATGCCAGCAGTCTAGAGACTTAGAGGTCACATGTGAAGTGACAGGACACAGACAAAACCAGCACTGAGCTAAACCCCTATTAAATCTGATTTTACTTCTTCCTTGTTTTGCACAGGGTTTGCTAAACTACAGCCCATCTAATCCTCAGCAGTTGAAGGAAGTTCACTGAAAATGTATTTGCTCCTCCTTAAAACAAAAGGAAATATTTTATTATGTAACTATTGCAAGAACTGGGGGTTGGGATACACAAAGCAGCTTTGCTACAAGCCAGTTTAAAGAAGCAAGTCATGCATCTTCCTTGTGCTGGAAGAACTTGAAACTTCAGCATCCTGCTTCCTTTTCCTGCACAGCCTGTGCCTTGCTGTCCTGCCCCCCAGGCTTTGCTGTCCTGTACTTGGCCCAGGGGTGGGGGGTCTCCTCTCCAGCCATAACTTTTAACCACCGGTAGTAGTAGCCACGGAAGCCATCAATCTTCTCTAGGTAGGGGTTTTTGTACTTATACTGCAAAGAGAAATCCAACAGGTTTCTATTAGATGAGAGCTCACTTCAGCACCAGCCTGCAGGAGCTACCACAGAAACAGCAATCAAGTATCATCAGCCAGACCAGACAAAGACACTCAGGCAGACATTAATCATCATATTTACAATTCCCCTCCCTTGTTGGTGTCCTTTGTGATGCCTTCACAGCCTGACAGTCCTGGCTCCTTACCCTGTCAAATTTGGGAGGGTACCGTGCTGCAAACTCCAGCTGCCGGATGATCACTTCATTGGGAGGCACCTCGTTATTCCTCATGTCCCGCAGGATCTCTGTGAGGTAACTGTAATCCAGCTGCCTCACAGCAGCAGCAATGAGGGTGCTGTAGATGTACTTGTTGGGAGTTATTCCAGACCTCTGGAAAGAAAAAATGCTACAGTTAAACAAGTTTATCTGCTGGCTAGTGCAGGATTTGCAGAAGGAAAACGCAGAGGCACTTTTTACACAAGGAGCACAGCTCTCATTGCAGGACCTGTGAAGCAGCTTGTGCAGAGCCAGTACAGGTGCAGGACAGACCACCTGAGCTCCAGCTACTCTGGAGCTGCATGTTTTTGGGAAGAGAACAAAACCACTCTCACAAAAACCTCAGCAGGTCTTTTAAAAGCATTAACACTTCACTTTGCCTCTTCCTGCAGCTCAGACCCCAAGCAGCAGAGGATTTGTCTTTGATTACCTTCAAATCCAAGAGCAGCTGCAGTCCATCCTGCTGTTTGTGACAGGCAATTGCCAAGTTACAAAATGTCTGGAGGTTAGGTGACAGTCCCCTCTTCACCAGAGCTGGCAGCACGCTCTGCAAGACACAAGTGTTGGCATCACTTCCCAAAAATTCTTACTGTAGCTTTCCAGACAGGGAGCTGGATGTGCTAGAACAGAATCCATAAACAGAAATTAACCCAAGCACGGCCTTGTGGGAAACAGTGTGAGATTCCAGTTTCTACTGTGGACAGACAAATGGGTCCCAGCAAAAGAGAGGCCTGAGACAAGGTGGTAGTGATGGGGCTGGTTCTGAGGTTTTTCTCTCACCTTTGCTCCTTCCAGGTCACCCTGCTTACTTCTCTTCCTCATTAAAGCATTAAAGAAGGTCACATCTACTTTTACTTTATGATCATCCAGCAGTGCCAGCAAAGAGGACTCTGAGGGGCTTTGGGGTTCCACCAGTTCAGCCAGTAACGTGAACGTTTTAATGTTGGGCTCTGCATTGTCCTCTTTCATTTTGTTCAAGAATCCCTCTACATCCCCCATCAGAGCCAGTCTATGGGATGGTGTGGCCACTGTCCCAAGGGAAACCACGGCTGTGTCAGCCATCCTGGAATCCAACAAGTTGGGCAGGTTGCAGAAAGGCAGCTTCTGGCTTGGCTGTGGCTGTTCCTGTTCCATCTCACTCTGGGCTCTCTTCACCAAGGCTCCAGCCCTGCTGTGAGTGATGCTGGGGCTGTCAGGAGCAGCCGGTTCTGCTTCAGCCTGAGCCATATCTTTATTTTGTTGCTGGATCTGTTCCTCAGGCTGCACCAAACTCTCCTGAAATAATTGCTTTTCCATAGCTTCCACATCCAGCTGGACAGCAGCACTCTCTGATCCCTTCTTCCTCCGATTTTTCACCTTTTCCTTCTGCCTGCCAGGTGGCAGCTTCAGCTGAGGCGAGTTCTCAGGGGGACTGAGCAGGACTTTAGAAGCCAGAGCGCGATTGCCGATCCCACAGTCTCTGGCCGCGCGCAGCATCAGGTTGTAGATGTGGCTGTCGGCCTTTATTCCCAGCTTATTCATTTGTTGCCAAACCTGAAGAGGGGAAGATGGATATTAAATAGCAGGAGCATCTCTAGCAGCCTGTAAGCATCTGTTAATGGGATCTGTGTGAGAAGGAATTAATTTACAGCATGCAAGGACAGTGACCTTGAGCTGGAGAGCCCTGTGAGATGATCCAGGGTTATTTACCAGCATAAGAGATGTCCTGAGCAAAGTCTAGTTTTCAGAACTTGTGCTAGGAGGAGCTGAACTCCTCCCATTTCACTGTTTTCCATGTGTTCAGGTGATGAGTTACAACACAGCAGCACTTTCCCCCCCTCCCACAACATGAGGACAAACCTGCAAGGCAAATCGGAAGCCGTTTTCACTGTCCTTTATGCAGCTCATGAGAAGGAAGCTGAAGGTCTCAGCTGTGGGGACATGGCCCTTCTGCACAACTTCCTGACAAGAGCAGAGAGCATGAAACTTTCTGGTTATCCTGTGTGGCAAAGCTCAAATCCACTGCCATCTCCTGGAGATAGATGTAACAAGTTTTGGACACACCCAGCCAGTTTTAAAGCCAAAGCTGCCTCCTTTTTGGTAATTAAGCTTAGAGTTTGGTAGGTACGATTTCACTCTATGACAATAAGGATCAATGAAACAGAACCACAGGATCTGTAATTATCTCTGCTGGACATGCAATTAAAATCCGATGCAACGTGACAACTTCCAGGAGCTTTAACCACAGCACAGAATAGGTTTAACAGGAGAAAAGTAACCTATTTACCTTGAGTACATCCAAGCACATCCTGAGGTCTGAGCAGAAAGCACAGACCTTCAGCAGGGCGTGGTAGGTGATGAGGTTCAGCTCCTCGTTCTTGCTCTGCAGCTGCTGCCGCAGTTTCAGGGCACTCTGCAGCCCTGAGTCCTTCCATGGAGACTCAGCACAGGCGTTGAACAGGGCTGTGTAAGTGGCCTCAGTGGGGGTTAACCCTCGTTTTTTCATCTAAAGGAAGAGAAGAAGGATTTGAACTGGCCTTTTTGCAAAAGGACAGCTTGAATTTTTTAACTTGTTTTTAAGAGTTTTGGGCTAAGAAGGTGCCAACACTAAGGCAAAGGCATTTTGGAGATAAAGTAATATGACTGAATACTTGAAATGCTTTTAGCTTATAAAATGCTTAGAGGGTGAAGTTAAACCTACATCATTGTAGAGCCTGAATGCCTTTTTCACGTAGCCAACCCTGCCACAGCCGCCAATGAGAACAGTGTAATTGCCTTCCTCTGGCTGGACACGCTCCTCCTTCAGCATCTGCACTTCAAACAGCTCCAGAGCCTCTGCCAGCTACAAGGATGAGAAAAATCCATCATGAGGCAGCAAGAGAATCAGCTACAATGGATATTAATATATGCAGCTGTGGGCAGATTGTAGTGTGAGTCCTACAAAGTGGGACTTTTTTAGTCATAAGAAGTCTGGAGAGGGTCCTTACATGAGGGCATGTGGCAACAGGATGGGGGGGAATGGCTTTAAGCTGACAGAGGGGAGATTTAGGTTAGATATTGGGAAGAAATCCTTTACTGTGAGGCATTAGCACAGGTTGTCCAGAAAAACTGTGGCTGCCACTGGATCCCTGGAAGTGTCCAAGGCCAGGTTGGACAGGGCTTAGAGCAACCTGGGATAGTGGAAGGTGTCCCTGTCCATGGCAGGGGGTGGAAATGGATGAACTTTAAGGTCTCTTCCAAACCAAACTGTTCTATCACGATTCTACAAGAAATTCTTATTTTACTTCTTTCTGTAAAGATACCAAGTGATAAAGATAGGTCAGATCTGCATCTTTCATCAGTGCTATTAAAATAAAGAAAAAAGCTGGGCTCAAACCTTGTTCTCTTTGATAAGGGCCTTGCAACGTAGGAAGTACCAGTATGGAGTGTTCTTAGGGCCCCATCGAGGTTTTCTTTCTGGTTCTTCTCCTTCTTCTTGAAGCTTTAAATCCCGAAAGCGCGCTGTGGTTTTGTGGTAATATTTTCTAGAGGAAAATTTATCAGTCAGCGTCCCGAACTCCACATCTTCATCATCATCATCATCACCCTTCTGCTCCTCAGCAGTTCCAGCGGAGCTGCCAGCACTGATCTCTCTCGGGTCGCTGCCGGGCAGTTTGCAGGAGGCCCGGGAGGAGCTGCACGTTCTGCAGCCCGGCAGCGGGCCCTGGCCTGGGGGCCGGGACAGCAACGGCACCTGCTCGGATCCAACTCCGGGGGCTGTGCACCGCTCCCGCAGCAAAGCGGGAAAGGCGTGGCGGCACCAGCGGGGGACGAGGAGCCGCAGGGAGCCCATGATATGCTCAATGTCCCCGGAAGGGAACGGGTGCGGAGCGGGACCGGGAGTGGGAGCAGAACCCGGACCGACCCCGCGCTCGCACCGTTCCCCCTCACCCCGCCCCTGACCCAGCGGCGCCTGCGCGCACGGAAGGGGCGTGTCCT